GTTCCGTCCATCGTATGTGGTCCAAGGAACGCGGGGGGTTGTTTGTTTGAGAAGCAAGTCGCGGGGGAAAGCAGGGAGGGCTCTGCATAAAGTATGAAGGGCAAGGCTCGGGCGCGCCCCGCCGGACGGCACGGGGCGGCCACCGCGCTGCCGAGCAACACGCCGACCCGCTGCCCGACCCCCCCAAAACTTTTCGCACCATAAATTCAAACGACAGCACAAAAAGGATACAGAGATATGGCGCAGGGCGCAGCCACAGAGCTGCTGCGGCGCGCGCGCGGGCCGGCGCCGCGTCCGTACGCAGTGGGGTGGTGCTTGGTTTTCCCGGAGAGCAATAATTTCTCGGTGCCCTCTCTGGATCGACCCGCGGCGTATCGGCGGCGTTGTCCCGCGCACGACCCCGCGCCGCGGGTGACGCGCGTTTCCAGTGAAAGGCGAGAGCGAGAGGTGGGGGGCAGGGGGGCAGGGGGTCCGCGCGTAATTATAATAATCCCCATGGGGGAGGGAAGGAAGGGAGAGCTCATTTGAGCCGCGCGCGACCCCCGTGCGGCGCCTGGAATTAGCGAGGGGTGGAAGGGGATCATCCCCGAGGATTAAATACAGCCGCGAGTCTGCGGCACCCATATTTTCGCACAAACGTGCCGCAAAAAAAGAAGAAGGAAAAACAACTAAAAATTAACGAGCTCATGGTGGTGGGAATGAATACAGCAAAACTAATCCGTTCCTTTCATGCAAGGAATAAAAGGGCGAACCCGGGAGAAAAGAAAAAAAAGAAAAGGTGTGTGTTGTACACGAAATTAGCTACCGAAGCCGTTCGTTTCATGAGGCTGGCGGGGCGGACCGCGCACACCCGCCACCGTTACAGGGGTATTTCTATTGCTCCTGGTGCACGGGGTGCGCGGGGTGCGCGGGGTGCGCGGGGTGGCGTATGGCCACCAGGCACGCGAGGACGCAGGCGGCGGGGCGGGAGAGGCGTGGCGGCGAGGCGACCTAACAACTCCGCATGACTCACTAAAATGCAACCAGAACGGCCGGCCGGCCCAATGGCAGGGCCATGGTGTGGTGGCCGTGTGGCAGGGCCCAGGAGGACGGCCGAGGCACTCGAGCGAGGCGACGCCCCGAATCACGAAGAGCAGAATAACAAGCGCGAGGGATGGCGTCGACAGAAACACACACAAGAAAAAAAGAAAAAATCGATAAAAACAGGTAGCAAGGAGGGAACAAATTCATCTCCGCACCATCTTAACATCATCGACTTCAAGTTAGCGGTACGACGACGTTGAAGGAATACGATATTGTCGTAACGATTCGATTTATTTCTGAAAAAACAATCTATTTTTTCCTGTTGATTGGAGTATGAACATTATGAACAACAATGACCTAGGTGGATATGATTTGGTCGTCCAAGACAAAGTTCGGGAGTCCCGCGTTTCCTTGTTAAATGCTCTTATAGACGCCTCTCCTGGCAGTGCCTCTCCTCGCCCGGCTGCACGTGTGCAGATGCACGTTGTCGTGAACCGACACCTGTTCGACGCCCACCACGACCTCGCACAATGCCATGGGCACCGCATGAGAGGCGGCAGGGCCAGCGGCGCACCCAGCTCTCATGCACCTGGCCACGCCCTCGTGCAGCGTGCAGCCGGGCCGGGGCCGAGCCGGGGCCGAGCCGAGCGCCAGGTGGCCGGCTGCACGCAGCCCGAATGCACGCAGGGCGTGCGGGCGGCCTACCTCGGCATTGCAGGGGCTCCCGGCCGCCACGGCCCTGCCCCGCGCCCCGCCGCGCGGCTAGCGCTCGCGGGCGCTCGGGAGAGAGCGAGAGCGAGAAGGGCAGAGAGACCAGAAGGGGGAGAGAGAGATTCGCAAGACGAGGGAGTGCCCAGGGCCGGGCCTAGCTCAACTGCAATGCGCATCGGGCGGGACACACGGGAGCCCCAGGTGGGTGTCACGCTACAGAAGGGAGATGGGCGGGCGCCCATTTCCGACGGGTATATGGCTCCCCGCGCAGGTGGGGGCGCAGGTGAGGGTCGCAGGTGGGGGGTGGAGGGAGGGGGTGCGGGGGTGAGGAGGAGGGCGGGGATGAGGAGGGCGAGGAGGAGGGCGAGGAGGAGGGCGGCAGAGGTGAGGAGGACGGCAGGCGGGCGTGTGGCCGCGGGCGCGCCCCTTCCGCGCCGCCGTCTCCGCCGCCACCACCAGAGCCTCTCTGGCGGGGCCGTAAACATGGTGACGGGGGACAGGCCGCCCGGGTGCTACTCGCGCTACTGTACGCATACGGAGGGCATCTGCATATAAATCGAGTCCTCGTTACCGACCACTCGCCGAGGAGGCCCCTGATCAGCTCAACAGCGCCGGACCGGACCCATCGACAAAAAAAAAAAGAAAAAGAAAGAAAAAGCAGAAAGATACAAAAGCAGGACTGCCGAAGCGGGACAATGCACTTTTGAAATAATTTCTGTTTTGTATGGGCCCGCACTTAAAAAGCACCCACTTGCGCCAATCGTTTTGGTGTTCAGAAGTGATTCCAAAGATACATCCAGAGCCCTCCAAGAAAGTCTCAACTCCGCACAACACCTTCTAGTGGCACAGACATGGCGACAGGCACCATATAGATCGATCGAATAAGCCCGCGCCCTTCTTTAAAGCGGGAAAGGTTGTCCTAGAGAAGGGTTGACGCGATTTGTCAACGGTCTGCCGTTTTATCTAACGCAGACGTCTCTGAATGTGAGAATCTCGACACTACATCAAGTTATTCAGTCCATATCGGTTTCGTCACTCTACCACCACCACCACGTTTCCCGTGCGAAGCGGCGCGCGAGCGCGGAAAACTTCCTCCTCACGTGCCGTCGCTTTCGCGATCGCCATCACCTTGGCCGGGCCGGCCGATACCCCATCGCGAGGCGTGGCCTCGGGGCGTGGCCGCCTCCATTATGGATCCCCTGGACGCGGTCCTCCCGGACGCGGGGGGGAAGCACAGGCACAACCCCGCCCGCAGGGCCCGGCCCGGCCCGACCGGGCCCAACCCGGCGTAGCGCGGACACTCGGCGCGGCCGGCCCGGCCGCTGACGGCATCGCATTGCGTCACTCACTCAATCCCATGTCATGTGCGAAGCGCGCGGGCGCTGGGCCAGTAGACCGCGACACACCCGCCGCGCCCCGCCCCGCCGCACTCAGACTGCGCTGCACCCCGGCCAGCCTCGGCCCGCCCGCCGCCCGGCGATAAGCCCTCCAGAAATGTGTGTTGCCAATGATAACACACTCTCCTCCTCCTCCCGGGCCGTCGGCGGCGCACCGCCTCGCCTCCACCATCACCCCCCTCCTCCACCGTCACCACCCGCCTCCACCTCGTCCTCTTCACCCTCGCGCGGAGCAAGGAGAGTGCGGCCGAGCGACCGCGCAGCGCATCTCCTCCTCCTCGGCATGGACGCTCGGTAGCGACCGACTCCCTTGCTCGTCCGAATAACGACAGACAATGATGGATGGGACCCTCCCCGCGGAGCGACCCACATTTCTCGGAATCGCCGCCGGCCCCTTCAAACTGAGGGGAAGAGAAGGAGGCGAGGGCGGAGGAGCGCCATTTTAATTGGAGTGGTTTTCTGTGTCCGCGCGCCCGCGGCGGTGCTCGGGGAAGGCCAAAGGCGCAAGCAGGCGGGCCGGCGGCGCCAGGCTGCGCAGACACAGCTCCGCCAGCAGCAGCGAGCGCACTTTGGACCATGGCGCCCGGGGCACCGGACCGGACCTGGGCCAAGGCGGCGCTGCTGCAGCCCAGAGCCACGGTTCCGCTATCTAGGCCTCCTCGGCGGCCGCGCGGGCACACAAGACACGGGCCCGAGGGGGGCGGTGGGGCGGGGCCGACAGGGGTGTGCTCGCTCATCACCTGTCCCCCCCGCAACCGGCCGCGACCCGGTCGTGGCTATGACTCGCCATCACGATCGGGCCCGTGGCGGCGCGTAGTACTCTCTTATCTTCACCCCGCCCCGCCCGCCAGTGCCCGGCCGTGGCTGAGGAGAGAAGCACATATGAGAGCCAGCTGTTTTTCTTACGCACGCAGAGCGTCCGCGCCATGTGTCGCAACTAGTGTTTATTCGCGGGAGCGGGATATGAGGGAGGACGGGACTTGACGAGGAGTGGACGCGACGGCCGACGCTTTCACTTTTTTCGCCCGTTTTCTATTTCAGTTCGATTGGCGCGCGCGCGCCCCGTCGTGTTGCCGGTGCTGCCCCTCCCCGTCGCCCTGGCTGGCTGGTCCCCGCGGTGGGTTGGGCCCCGAGAAGGGCTATGGTCCTTGTCGTGGACTGCGCCACCCCGCACCTGGCAGAGACCCTTAGGAGGGTTTGCCGTTCGGCCCTTAAAACGGGAGGGGCGGGGGGGGGTTCAAACGGGACGAGCAGCAGGAAAATTCTGGAAAATACGTCCACACGCCCAAGGCCGCCGCGCTGACGGCCTGCTCGTCGAGCCGAGCCCCCCCGGCCACGCCACGCCGCGCCACGCCCCTCGCCGCTGACGCAACGGCGGCGGCACTCGTTGAATAGACGGAAATCGAGAGTCGAGGAATGAGATTTGCCGAGACTTGCTGCTGCCGCCGCCGCTATGATGGAGGGTCGCGGAGGAGCGGCGGGGCGGCGCGTCGCGAGCGGAGCAGAGCACGGCGGCATGCGGGCGTTCATTCATTCGCCTTGGCGGAGGGGCGGGCGAGCGGTTAGTCGCTGGCCGGCACCGAGACACGTGACGCCGCGGCCGGGGCGGGGCGAGGCGGGGCGACAACGTGCTCGCGGCCGCCTTATCTCCAAAGGTCAGAGAGGCGAGTAGGTCGCGGCAGCCAGGTGTGTTCAGTTGACGCTTTACGGACGGCGGCGAGATAAACCAAGTCGTCTCCGTTGAGTGAGCAGTGCTGCTTCAGCGCGGCCGCGGCGCGGGCAGGTCCCCGAGCGAACCGTCACTGCATGTGGGGGTCCACGCCCCGCCCCGCCCCGCTGCGCCGCGCTATCGCCCCACGACGTCATCCCCCGCGCCCGCCGCGCCGTCTGATGCCCGAGGCAGATTGCTCGGCAACGCGGAGGTGTCGCCATGCAGTCGTCGTCAACGTCGAAAGAATAAATAACAACCGAAACAGTTTGTGCAAATGCAGCCGGCGGGCCCAGGCTGGCTGCGCGAGCTACGCGAGCTGCGCGATAGGCTAGGCCCGGGTCAAACAGTGTCGAGCGCGCCGTCGAGTCGAGTCCCCAGTGGTCCCAGTTCTGCAACACTTTTCTATACTCGGCCGGCCGGCCGGCAGCTTTGGGTGTCGAGTCGCACGCCACGCTCGCGCTTATCGATTTGGAGGCGACTGACAGAAGCGAGCAGGGGAGGAGGGGGGGAAGGGGGGCACAGCTGAGGGAAAGGCGTGTATGAGTCGACACGGCACAATAACACGCAATCAGGACCCGAGCGGGACTCGAACTCGCGCCCGTTCGCCTCACTGCCCCACCCACCCTGCTGGCGTGAGCGTCTCTCTCTCCACTTCCGGGTGGAGGACGTCTGGACACAGTGAAAGAAGTAAATAAAGTGACACGGCCGGACGAGGTCGACCAACTGATAAATTCGGAACGATTCGCTGAGAAGTGTCATTGAGAGACAAGCTGGGCAGCCTCGCAGGTTGTAGTAATAAAGTTGTAAAATAGAGAATGGTGCACTTTAGATACAAAACGAGGAAGAACAGCGGGAAGAACATAAAGGTTTCTGATGGGTCGAGCCTTTATCCCTACATCCGGCCTTGAGGCGCGAAGCTCTCGTTCGGCCAATGAGAAACCTTTACGTTCTACCCTCGCTTTGTACTCTTCTTTTCTCGTTCGCTCAGACCGCTTTTTGAAACAAACCGTTACTGAATGCAATCCAATGCCATTAACATTTAAGAAACTTAACAGGTATAAAAATACGAACAAACAGAGTTAGCCTGCGAAAAAAACTAGAAGACTTAATGAAATCCTTCTGTCGCAGATACATATATAATTTTCCTAAGAAGATTACATGCGTCAGATTTTAAGGTATGTTTCTCGCCCCACGACTGGGTAACAAAGCAGTATAGCACAGTCGACCACACGGGGCTAGAGGGGAGGAGAGGGCATATCGAACTGTTGTCAGGCGGCAGAGAGCTGCACGGCCCTGTTGGGCTTCCGCTGAGACGTGCGGCGTGGCTCGGCGTGGCGGGGATATGGCTGACGGGACTGCCAGTTCCCCGCCCACGCAACCACACCTACGGTCGGACCGGCAAAAAAGAAAAAAGCTCCCCTGTTGTCGCACCGAGCTTGGCTCAGCAGGTGAGGTTGTGCCGTGCGACTCGGCTCGGTGCGAGCCTATCTCGGCAGATTCGCGCTTAGCGCTCCCCAGATCGCTCGACGGCGAGCTCCGGGGGTCTCCGCGGAGGGAGGAGGGAGGGGGGGGGGGCGTGGTCCCCCGACGCTCCGACCTGCCCCGCCCACGCCCATAGAGCGCGGAGCCACGCCCAGGCAACCCATTAAGGGGCGTTAAGGTCTAAACTACTCGCCGACACTTTTCCACTTTTCCAACAATTTTTGGGGCTGGAATTTTATTTGAAAGCTTGTGGTTCAAAAGAGCTTCAGTGGGGGGGAGGGGGGGGGGCTCTCCGACTCCCCCGTTAGCAGAATATTCCTCCCAGGCATTCCCTGCCTGCGGCCGCCGCGGGGGCGGTGGCGCCCAACACAGCCCGCCGGGCTCCTCGTGGGCTTGTGCACAACTCTGTCGAAGAGTGGAAGCCCTTCGCAGCCTTGCTCGTGCAGAAGCTTCCTGACGGAACGAAACATACATCATACTCGGCTCGGACTCGGAGAGGGTCGACCGGGAAGAAAGAAGCAACGGAAAATTTCGCGCCACTTATGCCGGCTTGCTTTACCCGACATGTTTTTTTTTATTTCAAGGCTGGATGCTGGATCCCCCTCTCTCCCTCCCTCCTTCCCCTCGAGCTGGGCGTGCTCGCCTCCTCCTGCCTGCACGCCGCCCGACCAGGCTCCGGTCAGAATGCAAATACGAGGATTTCTATGGGACCATTTCACTCTTTATTCCCATAGATACATGACCAACTCTCTTAGTTCATGCCGATTTCAGTGTCAACAGTCTCAGAATTAGTGTATTTTATTTCAGCACGCTCCAAAAATTATGCAGAATGAGTCCATAGGATATCTGTTCAATTTTGCAGAAGCATGTGAGGGTATAGGAGTACACAGGTTCAAATAGAATAACGTTGTCAACCGCAGCTTTAAGGTGTTGCCATGACTATGGTCTTAAGGTGCTTCATCACAATATTCGCACGGCTCCGGTTTGAGATCCGACCGCATCGCGCACCACGGAGCAAATTGACAGGAGCCGAGCTTGTGACACACGGCGTAAAGTAGTGCAATTAAGTCCGGTGTCAGACGGGGGCGGCTGCTGATGACATGGACCAAGTCAGCCTCCTCGCCCGGCCGGGGCGGCGGGCGGACGACACTGTGCGGCTCGGCTCGGCTCGGCCCGGCCGTGTCGTGCGGCTGGCTGGCTGACGGCTGGCGGCTCGGCTCGGCTCGTACAGCCGCGCTCAGCCGAGCCCAGCGCAGCTCGCTCGCCCAGCTCAGCGAGGGATCCTAACCTCACACCGAGTACCATGACCAGGTTCGGCTGGTCGATACACACGGGGTAGCCCGCGGGGCTGCTCACGCGAGCCCGAGGGGCTTGCCGAGAGGTTATGTCGCCTCGGGCCGAACGTTGTGCAAGACCGACCTGCAGGGTGGCGTGTCAGCGTGTCCCTCGGCGATCAGCTGATTGTATCCGAAGTGCGGAGGCTTCACGCGGGCATCCTGGGGGGCGCTGGCTCGCTCCGCGGTGCTCCGCGGCTCGCTCGCTCACTCCCCCTCTTGCTCTTGGGGCTTGCTCGCTCCGCGGGGCGCGAACACTGGCTGTGACACTCGGCCACACACAACTCGCACTCGTCGCGGACAGGCTGCGAGGCGTCACTGGGGGTCACATAGCGAGCAGCCGAACCGTCACTGGGACCCGGACCCGAGCGCGAAGCGGAGCCGTGAGCCGCCTTGGCCTCTCCGCCGCGGAGCCGTCGCCGTAGCCGCGAGCACTTGCACTCACAGCCACGGGAATGTTGAAGGCGAACAGCAGAAGCCAGGGGAGCGGGTCGGGGGCAGGGCGGGGACGGGAAAGGACAGGCCGCGAGCTTGAGCCGCGTGCCCACAGGGCGCGCCACCGGCGGCCCGCACGAGCCCGCGCTGCCAACCTCTGCACGCGCGCAGAGGCGCCAACGATTCAAACGGGAAGCGGAGGCGAGGAGGAGGGGGGTGCGCGAAGTCCACGTCATGAAGAGCTTCAGGGAATCCCTAGAGCTAGTGACCCCGGCGATAACAACGACGGTTAGGTGCGTGCGGAAGCCCGACGACTGTTAAACTGCCGAAGCTGGCACCAAACGCGTCGGCAAGGTTTCCGCAAATCATGGATGAAATTACACTTTGTCTGCGTAGGCCCTCGCGTTGGTGACCGCATTATTGTAGAAGCCCAGAGTAAAGAAAATCGTCTTCAACCGGAGCTGCGATGACCCCCCACAACCTCTATGCGCGGCGGCGGCCTTAGGGAGCAAGAATAGTGAATAGAAGCCTCGCGCTCACCTTGCGTAAAGGCAGCGCGGACTTAATCTAAAATGAGAGAAGCCTCGATTGTTTGTCGGCGGTACGCCACGGGGCAGCTGCCAAAATATAACGAGTGCTGTACACGCGATACTCGCGGTAAATATGTCGTCGGCGACGACAGGGCGACCCCTGTATTCCGGACTTCCCTCGAACGTGGAATGACCCCCCTCAGCGACCGCGACCTCTGTGCGGCAACCGCCACCCGTGAGGCGTTAGCGGGGTGACCCCGCACATCGGTTTTTGGGGCATTCGTCCTTGTCGCACTCATGGGGCCCTGCCAGGTAGGGAAGAGAAAGAAAGGCCACCACTGAACACTTTGCGGTGTGGAATCATCCTGCAGGGGTCGCGGCTTGTTCGACTTGATGTGCCGGCTTTGTTTGACATGGCCGGCAGCCGAGCCTACACCGCCGTCACTCGACCAGCGGCTTCGTCACGGCGTCGGCGGCAGGCGTCGCAGTGTCTGCCAACACCATGGTCTTTACCTGCCACAACTCTTGACAATGTTCCAAAGGCGGAGGGCTGGTCCGCTCGCCACTGGCCGCACCGGCGGCGTCTCCTTGCTCGAGGAGGAGGCGCGGAGGACTCTCTGGGGGGAAGGACGGGCGGATCCGCCTGCGGACCCCTCGAGGGGTTCTCTGCTGCTGCCTCCTGGGCATCTGGCCCAGTCGTGTGACTGTCGACAGCACCTAACAGGACATGATTTGGTTGGTAAAAGTAATCCTCGGATCGTCAACCCCGACGCCGTGAAGGGTAGGGTGAGGGACCTCCCGCCCTGGCCCTCGGCCCCAGCACGCCCAGTAGTCGAATAATCGAATTGGGTAGAGACGAACGGAGAACACAGACAGAAATGTAATTTAAAACGACATCGAAAAGATGTCGAAACGAATTCATAGTCGTCGTCTCTGTCCTAGTGCGTCGTTTCGACATCCCAACGCGATATCGTTCAATTTCTCCACAGGAAACGTCACCGAGCGACGGGTAAGGGACTGAACCCCCCTGAACGTACACGTCCTCTGCCTGTAAATCTCCTCTTGAGTTTTTTTTTCAGCATCACATGTGCTACATGCTCTCGCAACAGTGTCCCACTTGATGATTGCTGACGGCTCTGGCACCCGACTCAAAGGCAAAGGTGCTTTGCCTCCTCGCATCATGCGCGAGATCCACCTCCGCCCTCGAGTCAAGTCTTGTCCTCGGACGCACTGGACATGTTGCATAACGGCCCGCCACAGCTCGAGGCCGCCGATGTGCCCCGGCCCCGGTCCACCCCCCGGCCCAGAGCGCCCCTCTTGCACGCGTGGGGCGCAGCGCTAGCGCAGTTGGGGCCGGGCGCGGGGCGCGGGTCCTGAAATAGACCGGGCAGGATGACTCAGCCCAGCGCGGCCGCTCACGGCAACGAGAGAGAGAGAGCGGTGTGTTGTTTTCGAGCTGGCACTGAGGTCCAACATTCCCGTCTTTCTGCCGCTGCGGTGGTGTGGTGACCAGGAAAAAAATCGACTGATGCCAACTAGCTTTATTGCTTTCTACGAAAGATGCATGTCCATAATGTTGTCGTGAGGAAGACGCGTCTTCAAAGCCCTCCACCAGTTTCACCCTCATTTCCTCGTCCTTTCTTCCCTTATCAATTAAAATTTATGCTCAAATTTACCTTTTTAAGGGGGGTTTCTGACGATTATTGTTAACGATATGTGCGTGAGAACAAACATAGATCCCCAACAGATCGGACCTTGGGAGCCGTGGTCGCGAAACGGTCACGTCGCCCTCGCGGAACAGGTTGAAAATCCCCGCGCAAAGCTTCTGCGGCTTTTGTGTGAAGGTTGGTATTACCGAACACTTGTGATGAAAACAAGAGACGATACGTGTCAAACATGGCGGCTTAACTCCCCTCTCGTGACTTAAATCCCTACTTAACTGGCCAAAGCCCAACCGGCAAGTTTGCCAGTCACAGCTGTTGCTTGATCCTCTGACAGTCTAACGCTGGAGGCAGCAGACTGAAGTTAGACCGAGCAGCGGCCAGACCTTTGGACTTGGACGCATCAGGCGTCCGCGTCAAGTGAAATATGGCGCAGAACTTGTAGTGAGTATTTACTTACGGATACAACTTTGACCTGGACTGAATAGCTCGGGCGGGGGGCAGTCACAAATGTTGGCGCTTGGTATTTTCTCCTTCTCCGTGCGTTGTGCACGAGGGGGGTTTCAATCGGCGATTCGTCGTATGTTATTCACTGTCAGGTTCGTAAGCTGTCACTGTGTCATTCCTGTCATTCTGTGCATTCCCTGCCCCGCCGGTCAGCCTTTGTTCGTCTGTAAGGGGTAATGGTTTGTGTTCGATCAGGGCGTGATCCTCTTCAAATTTTTTGGTTACTGCATGGATAGATTTATTTGGCACCAAGTGCTAACCATATCAACTTTATTTTAGCAGTCGTCATCACCTTGTCTAGTGGGCGTTTCAGTGTCACATTGAGGTTAGAGCGTCTGTTGTTTACCTCCTACCAGGCGCGAATTTTGAAAATAGCTTCGTTCACTTCGGAGCCTGAACTGAATAATTTGTATGAATTTAACTTTTTCTCTGTATTCTTCCACATATTGACAACTTTCCTTGGCAAGCGATGTCATTATCTTGTTTCATTGTCTTCGGCCGGCTTATCTTGTCTTATCTGCGGCTTAAATCTCGGCCGTTGCAACTCGGCCAGTCAACTTTGCAAAGATTCGTAGCTACTTTGAGGACTTTTTGCACCAAAATTTGTGGATGGGATATATAAAATTCTCAGCTCTAAAGCTCTTTTTTTCTTAGATTTTTAATATTTTTTTTGTAATGAACCAATTTTAATATTTTGGATATTAGTTATTGTCTCTTCAGAAAAAAAAATGTGACTTAAAATTTGCATCTTGTATGGTTCTTCATGAGAATGTTTTTGTTTTTCAGTAAACCTTCTGTGGCCAAAGCAGAGGAAAATCTGCAATCCACTGAATATGATGGAGTTGTACTTGTGTCTCACTTGCCGCCAGGACAACAGCCAGCTCCATTTGGAAGTATTTTGGCAGAAGCATCAAAGGTTTCTTTTTTAAATCTTTTTTAAACAATAATATTGGATTGTGCCTCCTATGTTTTTAGTACTTTTGTAGATTAAAAAAATAAAATATTCTGCTATTCTTTGATTCTAGATTGACGAGTCCCTGGCATCAGTAGGGGGAGTGTTTGGAGTAAATCTTCCCTCAAAACGGTTCATCTATGCTCCAACTGGACCCATTTGTCCTGACTATGATGATGTCCGAAGTTTTGCAGATGCAGCCAAGAAAGGTATTTGCAGGTAAGTTTAAGCAAGCGCCTTATTCATTTTGTTTCCATACTTGTATTCCATTGAATCTGTAATATTTTTTGATTTTATAGAGCTTTGAAAGCAGGTGTGAAGTGTCCTCTCCTAATTGTTCCCTCTTATGATAAATTCAAACAAGTGGAGTTGGTGACAGTCCTTGGTGCTCTAGAAGCACTTTATGTGGTATGCCTTCTAGTTTTACTGTGTCTCCAATCCTACATCTCTTATGTGTTATTTAAAAACTACATTATTTTCTTAGCCTATTATGGTGAGAGAGGATGCGCCTAAGAAAGTGGTCAAGCCTGTCAAGTTAGGCGTCTGGCTGGAAGACAAGAGTCGCACTAACACAGCTGTGACTTTGGCCAATGCTATTGAAGCTGGCAGGTACTGATCCAATTGACTCATGTACACTCCTGTTTGTGGGGTTTATGAGTTTGCTTTAATTTTCTGTAATAATTTTTCAGGTTTGTGGCTCGCGACATTGGAGGTGGAGATCCAGAGCGTATGGCTCCTCCGCAAGTGGAAAATTATGTTTTGAATGCATTTGGTAATGGGTCAGGGATAAAAGTAGAGGTCTTGAAAGGAACAGAATTTTTTGAGAAGGAATATCCTCTTTTTGCTGCTGTCAACAGGGCTGCCAGTGGTAAAACTCATGGAGTAATGAAGACTGAATCATCCTCAGATTAATACCTACTGTAATCTAAAACAAAATTACTCAATTGCAGTTATTGAGCGTCATCAAGGCAGGATTATTTTCCTCACATATGAGCCCCAGGATAGAAAGAATGTTAAAGATACCCTTATGTTTGTTGGCAAGGGTGTGACTTATGACACTGGTGGTGCTGACATCAAAGCGGGTGGAGTCATGGCAGGGATGTCTCGTGACAAATGTGGAGCTGCTGCAGTTGCTGGTTTCATGAAGGTACATCATAGTCAATATTTACTCATTAATTATCTTAATTTATTATTTATATTACACCATATTTTGTCCTTGTGCACAGGTTGTGGAAGAATTAAAGCCTCAACATGTTAAAGTTGTGGCAGCACTATGTATGGTGCGCAATAGTGTTGGTGAAAACTGCTACGTATCTGATGAAGTTGTGACTGCACGGTCTGGGGCACGTATTCGTGTTGGAAATACAGACGCTGAAGGGCGGATGGCCATGGCAGATGCTTTGTGTAGGGTGAGTATATTCATGATGTAACTGTCAACAATTTTATTTGTACCCCTTTAATCCTCATGTTTACCTCTTAAAATTTCATATTTGTTTTCACATTGTTTATAGATGAAGGAGTTAGCCTCTGGAAATCCAAACCCTCGACTGTTCACTGTTGCCACACTCACTGGACATGCTGTCTTAGCTGTTGGAGAAGGTTATTCTGTAGGTTACCTTCATGACCTTGTTACTTTTTAGAATTACTGGCTTGGTCTCATAAATTCTCTTTGTTTAGATTGTTCAAGATAATGGTCCAGCCCGAGATGAAGGGAATGCTCGGAAACTTCAGGATGCTGGTGCTGTTGTTGGTGATCCCTTCGAGATTAGTACAATGAGAAGAGAGGATTTAGCTTTCCATAGAGGTAATTTTTCTCTCTAATTTTTTGCTTTATTTAAAGGCTGTTTTAAGTTTGCCATGCAGTTGTCATATCATGAAATTAAAATTTCAGCCCAAAGTGAGGGAGATGATTTGTTGCAATGCAACAATGCACCCTCATCACGTACTAAGCGTGGTCATCAGACACCAGGAGCATTCCTTCTATTGGCTTCAGGATTGGAAAAGGTAACATGTATACAGTATTTTAGGAACATTTTTTTAGAAATTCCTTTTTAACATTGTATTTTAATTTTTCAGCATGGTCTGAGTTCTGATCTTCCCCTGAAGTATTCTCATCTTGACATTGCTGGATCTGCTGGCGACTTGCCTGCTGAACCTACAGGAGCACCAATTGCAGCTCTTGCTGCTCGATTTGTTCTTACATTGTAAAGCAATCCATGATTTAACTATTTTATACGCAGTATATCAATGAAATGTTTTTGTATGCATATTTTAACATGGGAAGGAAATCATTAAACCAATTTTATAAATGTTCTCATGAATTTACTTTGGCCAGGATAATAATCATAAACATGAAATTTAATTTACCATTTATGATTAACTTACATAATTCACATTCATACAGTTACAACTTCTCAACCTTTCAATGTCTCCATCAGCTCACCAGATTCTTTCAATTCTTTGATGATATCTAATCCACCAATCAGTTCTCCCTTTACATATAACTGAGGATAAGTTGGCCACTTAGAATATTCCTTCAGTCCTTGGCGCACTTCTTCATCTTCCAAAATGTCAAACGTCTCAAATGAGATGCTGTATAAAGTTACCACAGATAATCAGAATATACCTCTTGGTAATAATTAATTAGCTAATTAGCTATAATGCAATGTGATGGTGACTTACCCTGTGCCTTTCATCAATTCCATAAGTGTCCTGCTGAACCCACACTTTGGTTGGCTGGGATTTCCTTTCATGAAGATCATGACAGGAGCTTTATTAGTAAGTGCTTTCAGTCTGAAAATCAAAGTTGCATTTAATGAAACTGCTTCACAAAATAACAAAACAGCTTAGTTTCTTTTTTAGGGAAATGTACCTTTCATCTAAGGAGACCTTTTTGGGCAGCATAGACTCCAGTTCTCCATTCTGTTGCATTTCTTTCACAATGTCCAAGCCACCAATCAGCTCACCATTGATGTAAAGCTGTAGAGGAAAACCATTAGAAAGAGGTGATTCAATATATCACACATTTGTTTTGAGTAAAATCAAGCACATACCTGAGGATAGGTTGGCCAATTTGAGAACTCTTTTAATCCCTGTCTGATTTCCTCGCTATTCAAAATGTCATATGTGTTATAACTTGCATTAAAAGAGTTTAAAATATCAACAATTGCTCTACTAAATTTGCATTTTGGCTCAAGACTTGATCCTTTCATGAAAAGCATAACAGGGGCAGCATTAATAAGCTTCTTCAATCGAGTTTCAAGATCAGCTTTGGAATTTTCTGGAAGTGCATGGACTGACACCAAAGGTTCCTGAACATCTCGGAGCTGTGTAAAATATCACCAAGATCATTATACAAGTAGAATCAATACTTGACATTTACATTAAATTTCCTTTACACAATTTACTTACACACAGTGCAATTTTTTTCTTAAGATTGGCAGTGTTAGCACCATCCACTCGGTCAACCTCCTTCTTTTGGACAATTAAAATAAAGGTCGGTACTGCCGTTATCTTGTGCCTCATTGACACATCAGGTACTTCCTCAGCTAAAACTTTTGCAAACTGAACGTCCTGTTGGGAAATATTTTGGACAATGAGGTTGACATCAATGAATTATTATTTCAGTAAACCACAAAAAGAAACTCACTCTAAATTCAGACAGCTTAGAGAGCTCCTCCATTGCCTCATTCATCTGCTCACACTGTGGTGCCCATTCGGCATAGAAATGCACAACGGAGAGCTTAAGGGGCCTGAAACATGTAGTACACACAAACAAATATCAAAACTCATGCTCCTGAAGTGGTTGAGATTTTAAATGCAAACAAACACGAAGGAATTACACAACAACCACAATCACTAAAATTCCATGGCTGTGAAACTTAAATGTAAATAGTAGGATGACAAGTAATTATTGTGCTTTACTTTGTTGATAAATCTTTAAGGCACAAAAAAAGCAAGGTTATCACACCAAAAATCTCGAGGGTACAAGGAACTGAACTCACTTGACGAAGTCTTCAAACTCTTTTTCAGTTGTTAGCCCAACGAGTACCATTTTGCTTGTGGCTGAGACGAAAGAAAGAAAATTATGACGACAGAAACGTCAGTCCAAATTAAGTAAGAAACAGCCTCCGGTGTTTGGTCGAGTTTCGTCAGAAAGTGTAGGTAGATAGATAGTTCGTCGTCCGATGGTTTCATACGTATGCCGACAGGTGGCGCTAGTAGTTACTTTCAAGATGATACAGCCGCGAAGTTCAAATGTAGCCGGAGATGTGTAAAAATTGTCAAAGTAAAACAGTCTTGAAAAAAAAAACGCACCCTCATATTCAAAAACTACGCCACACAAAGCTGCTCATTGCTTTCACTCAATTTACTTCAAAATAGAAGCTTCCACATTCAGTACGCCACCATTTATTCGTTGTCAACAACAGCGCAAGCCTTTCTGAAAAAGTTCACTCGGTGATTCTCTTCCACATAACTTTTTTTTTATTTGGAAGGTAGGAGTTACTGAGGCAGATACAGGTGGTGGCTCATCTCATGGTACCCCCTTGCTCAAGTGGCCCCACCCCCCACCCTCCCTCAGCTTTTCCCATACCAAAACGTTCCCGAGAATATAGTTCCGTTTGTGTACCTGTGCACACGTTACGGGACGTAAACCGCTTAAGGAATCGTCCAGAAAGTACGTCCGCTTTTCTCAAGAATCATTCGGTAAATTACGGGAGCTCGGCGCCTGTGAGACTCGTGGTAGGCCGAACCGCAGTACACGCATGTACAGCAAGCAAGATATTGCCTACCTACCAGGCGCTGTGAGAGCTTGCATGGTCTGAACTTGGCAGTTACGTAGCACCGAGTGACGGACGTACTTTCTAAACAAGCCAACTTTCCCTGCACTCCAAGGAGCTCCCTCAGCTTTGCACTCTGGGAAAATGTAGTTGTTTTCATGTGTGTTTTTTTTACAATATTTCGTTCGTAATTTACAAATTTTAAACGACTTTTCCATTTTTCGATCGGTAAGTTATCACAAATTTAGCCCATTCCTGCTCGGTCGAAGAAACTAAAATCAATACGCGTTGTCATAGAATATATTGTACAATTTGAAATCGAAACTTTCACCATGAGACAGCTACAATTATTTTTCGCGATGCTCATTCCTACGAACATTTCCTTTGTTTCAATTGGACGTGTCCGTTTTTACAGATTAAAAAAAAAATCTGACGAGTATCGATTCTTGCTACTCCCTCTCTCCTACCCGCTCACATTTCGCCCTCCCCTTCGAGGGCGTGCCCCTCGCCGTTTTCCGAATGACAGCCTAACTTCAAACAGATCGCGCCACGTCGAATCGCCGGCTCAGCTAAGCTTGGCGGGGAGCAGAGCAGAGCGGGGAGAGGACAGGGTGCACGGGGGCACGGGGGCGGGGTGGGGCGGGGCCGGGGTCGCCACACCGCGTGCCACACCTGTCCCGCCCCTCCGCACGGCCGGCTCGCAGGGCATCGGCAGGGACCGTCCCGGAGCAGAGCGCTGGCTGCTCGCTCATCCTCGCCTCCCCTCGGTGAGAAAGGGGGAGGGAGAGAGAGAGAGAGAGGGGGGGAGGGGCAGTGTGGAGGGTGACTGATTTTGGAACGGCTGAGGGCGCCACACACACCCCCAACTCCGCCCAGCTGGGGGGGGGGGGGAGCAGGACACTGAGCACCTCCGCGCAGACGAATCCTCCAATTTTATCCCCGCGGTCCACGCCGGGCCCCGGCCTGGCCCCGGGGTGAGGCCCGGCGCGGCGAGGCGGGGGCAGCCAGGCGCACTCGGCGAGGCCCCCGCGGCCCAGGGCCTGACCCGTGTGGAAAACCAGGAACCGCCCCGCCGTCCAGGGCGTCGTCACGTCACCATAGGCACCGCCGGGCACCGCCCACCAGTCCCCGCGATCCCACTTTACTCTGTCAGGTAGTTTGTTTTCGGCAGATGGTATAGCAGATGATATACCACTGGGTGTGAAAACAATGAACATGTGAGCTTTCTGGTTCACAGTTTGGTTTGAAGTGCACAAAGAAAAAAAAAGCTTGCGGCGTATGCAACATAAAAGGTCAACTCATACGAGTTTAAAAGTATCAAGTTTTTGGCGGAGTCGCGGAACATTTGAAAGTCGAAATCGAAAAAGTCGAAGGAGTTGCAATAAAAATAGATCGTCGGCCCCCGCTCCGCTGTGGGACTTAGCGCTGTACCGCTCTCACCGCTCGGCCCGCTGGCCTGTGCCCTCGCTCAGGCCGTGGCCGCGGGAGCGATCCCCAACCCGATTACTCCCAAGTGCGTCTTTCAAATGAGCGCCGCCGCCCTCGGCACCCGCGATCGCCCCGCCCTCCGCTCTCTCACGTCCCGCCGACTAAACGGTCCAATTCCACCCCGATCCAACATTATCAACACGGCCAGCAACACAAGCCCCCCCTTCTACCTCCCCCTCCCCGGGCGAGGTGGCCCAGCTCCGCGCTGCTTCGCGCAGCTCCGCGCAGCCCCGGCCCACCAGTTGCGCGACGTACCCTGCCCCGTTCACTTCAGATCCCTCCCCGCGGCCGCGGGGGTGAGAGAGGCCCGCAAGCGCAGAGCTCTGCGCCGCGCCGCCGCTCCAGTCCGCGTGGCTCCAGCCGAGGCTCCAGCCGTGCCGCCCGCGCCGCCCTCAGGCCCGCTCCGGCAGGCCCGCTCCGGCAGGCCCGCTCCAGCAGGACCGCTCCAGCGGACGTGTCTCCAGCAGCGCCGCCCACCGGCCCACTGAAAGTGGGAGTAATGCGACGGCGACGGCGTGACGGATGTTGATGAGGCGCGCCTCAGCCCGTGTCCAGGGCTCCTCCAGGGCTCCTCCAGGGCCGCTCCAGGAACGCTCCAGGGCCGCTCCAGAGCAACCGAGGGTCCCCCGGCATATGACCTCTGCTCCGAGGTGCTGCTTATAGCTGGTGCTGAAGTCAGTGACTATAGTGACAGTTCCGGACAGACGGCCGTCTACGGTTTTCAAACTCACCACCCCCGGTGAGAGGCCGGCCGAGAGAGTTGCGAACTCAAGTGAGGTACTCAGTGAGCGACCGTAGCGAGACCCCGACCGAGTTGAGAGGCGACGTCGGTGACCAGGTGACCAGGGTGCCGACCTCCAGCTCGGATCTTCGTGCGGTGAAAGGTGAGTTCAGTGTTCTGTTAAACGATGTTAGGTCCTCGGTTATGTCCTCCAAACCTGAATTGCCTTTCTCACTCTTAGTTCCTTACAAAAGATGCTTACCTTTTCAATTTATTATTGGAGAAATGCAGTTTGTAACGTAAAAAAGTCGGTATTAATCCATTCATCGCATGAGAAAACAGCTCGGTTTGTAACAGTAAGACCATAGTCTCGGTCTTGCAAACCTGGCTCTTCGTAGTTCGCAGAATTGAAATTCGATATTTTCGTTAAAAAAAAAAAAAAACTTACAGCGCCGGGCAGGTCAGGGTTATCTGGTCTAGTCGTTGCCTGTAATGCAGTTTGAACAGAATGTTTTATTTCGGCTCCGCTTTGTCGTTCTGGTTGGTAGTCGGCTGGGTCGCGCTATTTTAGGCCCGTTCTTTCGTCTCCTCTCCTCACACACAATAGACTCTCTCTCTCTCTCTCTCTCTCTCTCTCTCTCTCTCTCTCTCTCTCTCTCTC